TTCTCAAGAAGAAAATGCTCTGGATGAGTTTGCCTGGATAGCCTTGAAAAAACAAACACAAAAAAGCAAACAAAAATACTTGGTCTTAATGAATGTGTATGGTATCATGTATCTCTCTCTGTGGTGTTCCAGTCCACAAGATGAATGCATGTTCAACACACTGCCTTATTACATAACTGATCTATTTATTATTGCATACATGTATCCTGAATGACACTACCACATGTTGCAAGTAGTGGGATCCCATGCGTGCTCTTTTGATGCAGTACTATCACAAGCCTAGTACTCTTACTCATGTTAAAACGCCACTTCTTGCTATCTTTCTCGAGTCACATAAAACACTACAGTCTTGTTTCCACTTCTGCTCCAAGAAACAAGATACAAAGTTAGGGAACAAACAGTGGTCCTGTATTTTGTTTCTCATCTGCCATAGTGGGTTGGCCCACAGCAGGTTGGACTGCAGGTCCTTGGTTCTATCCATTTATTGATCTTGACCATGGTAGAAAATGCACCAAACAGGACCATATGACTTGCTGTCTAGCCTTAGCGAATAAACCAGTAGGACTTTCAACAAAAAAATGTTATGTATACTGTCCTGAATCCAGCATCTTTTGCAGTCTACATTCTTGTGTCTGTTTTAATGTTATAAAATCAAATATATATGAGTGAAAGTGTTCTGCAGGATCATCATAAAAGAAGAAATACTGGTCCTGTCTTCTAAGGAAATGTTGTAGAAAATTCTTGATTTGGAGCTATTTATTACTATGAGTTTAAACACTCTCTGCTGCCAGTGTGTGACTCACTTTTACCATAAAACTGTTTGCATAACATTTTTGTTTGTTCATATAGTGTATGGTCTGCTTTGTTTTGAGGTTTTGTTTCTCGTTTTGTTGGGTTTGTTACACCTAAATTAAAACAGTTTGAAAAAAAAAGTTGCTGTACAGTTACATGTTGGAATAAATACATACGTGATATATCATGTATGTGTGTGTCTATATGCATGTATACGCACACCTGTATATACATATACACACACACATGCATATATGCTTTCTACACTTTCCAGGTTTTGGTATCTGTTCTATAACCTGCTTATGTTTCCAGAAGGATTTCTTGTCTATAAAAATGAGTACTCTTTCATACCATCTATTGTTCTTTAAAATCAGAATTCTTGTTTATGCATGATCAAATGAGAGGATGTGTACTCAGTTTCACATCAAAGTTCCCTGATCTCATATTGTTGATGGTTTCTTGATCATCACTCCTCTATTAGAAGCTCAAATCCGCCAATGAAAAGAAAAAAGAATTTAAAGAATACTTCTGGATGCAAAGGTTTATTCAGGTTTACCAGCCTTAAAAAAATGTATCTTGTTTCTCAACAGGCCAGTATGTCATGTGTATGCTTATATGCCACGTGTAGTCTGTATGTGTAGAACTCAACAGTAGTATCTGTATGACTGTTTCAGGCGCACAGTTTGTGCAGCACTGTAAAACTAAGATCCTATTGGGGTTATTTCTTATACAGATGGTAAATCTTCATACTGTTTCTTTAAGTCCAAAGAAAATTTTACACTTTACTCTTTTTGAGAGGGCGGGATATGGATTGGGTTGGGGGACTTTTTTCTTGTTTAAAATGTTGTTTGACCATGCTCTGTGGGAAGTCCTCGGGCTTCCCAAGAATAAGTGTACTTTTTCAGTAATGTTATGACTCTTATTGACGATTGGCATGAAGCATACTTGAAGCATTATGTTGTTATTTTAAGTCCATGTCTTAATGTGCAATTGGGGAGGCGGGGGGATGAATGGGAGTGTAATTTTGAAGTTACTTTTGACATAAGGCAGTGGTGGTGGGGAGGAGGAAGGGATGCATGTGAAGGGGATAAACTTCAATTTTTATTGATTATTTTTTATGAAAATGTTTGGAAATCTAAAAGCAACCTTAAAAATATTTGGTCTGCTAGTGTGTGTTCAACTTCCTATCTTTTAGTTATACCACATACCTATGGAATTTTGTCCATTTTGACTTCTCTAAGTTTTGTGGTAAAAAATCATTGAATTTCAGGAGGGGAAGTACCCCCTGATACTTCTGGTATGAATATTGCACTGTTTTGTTAGAAATGATGAAATGAATCATTTTACCCTTAAAATACCAGATAAGCTTTATTATACACTGAAAATAGGGGTGAAACAAGAAGAAAACAGCAAATAGAAGAATAGGCATAAAAGGGAGATGACAACAATTACAGTATCCAAGTTCATGCTGAATTTCATGCAAATTGTGGATCATCCTTAAATTCTTAAATTTTCTAATTCAATGAGAGAGGGAAGAAAATAGACTGCAGTTTGTGTGTGTGTGCGTGTTGACTTTTTCACAAAATTCTGATAGAATGAGAGTTACTAAGTGTTGATCTACATTTAAAAAAATAGCTATTTTCATCTGAATTTGTATGCAGAAACAAAATAAACCCTTGTTCACTTAATTTCAGACATTCATATTTCTCTTAAAGAAAAAATAAGATGATACTCTTCCAAGTCTTTAAGCACTGATCTTTGTGATGGATTAAAGTGTTTTGGCAATAAATGTTTTGGAGTTTTACTTAATGTCAAGGTGTTTAAAAGAAAGTTGTATGTGAGAATTTGGATTAATTAATTGAGGTGACCAGATAGAAGTTAGCAGTAAGTTGCAGTATCTAAAAAATAATTTTCAGCCTAAGTGAGTCACTGTTAGTAGAACAGTAGTTGTATCCAATAGTAAGGACAGTTTTCATCTTGCCACTAACTTTTCACCTCAGAAAGTGGATGTCCAGTTGGCTAGACAAGTTTTAATATCTTTTTAGATGTTTGAATCCACTGAGAGACTTTAAAAATTTTTCAATATCATCTAGATTTGAAGGCCATCTTAGTAAATGATAAAAAGAAAGAACAAGAAGGGAGGAGGGGCATACACTGATCTGAGGAGAGTCTTTCAAGGTAAAGCAAAACCCATGCTCAGGCTTTAGCCTTTGGATTGTAAGAAATGGTTGATCATTTCTGTCTTTCATTTCATTGGTTGGGTGTGTTTAGGTTAAGTCTGTGCTTTCAATTTCAGAAGCAGACTCCACACAGTACAGTGCATTTGGAGAGCCCAGTATATTTCTATTAAAGTTTCTTTTAGTCTGGAAGAAGAAAATAAGTTCTTAATTAAAAACTTAAATTAACTTCTTTAAAAGTTCTTAGCTTTTGCCTGACCTTGTCCGTCTTTCCCATTCTCTCAGTGAAATAAAGTATGTTCACAAATCTGGTTTGGGTCCTTGGTCCTTACTTGGTAAGTATCATCTTGTTTTCTTAGAAGCTATGCTAGTGTTTTGGGGTCTCTTGAACAACCTATTGATTTTGAGCCCAGTTACTTAGTTTGCGAAATTAATGGGAAAGCTGTAGAATGCTCTGAAGAGAAAACAGCCAAGTTCAGTTGTTGTATGCACTATCTTACTGCAGCTACTGCTGTGATGGTAGGATGTTTGATTTGCTTCATACTGTCTTTGTTCATACACATCCTATCCCATCTTCTACTCCTTGTAGTTTAACAGAAAACAGCGTATCTTTCTGGAAACTGTTGTCTATAAAGGGACATGTTATTTTTGTGTTTGCTCCTTGGGCCATTGATAGGCACGCTTTGCTGTAGTGCAATGCATGAAATTGAGACTTACAGTGAAGATTTTGTCAGACTTTCAGCCATAGCTCGAGCTAGCAGGAACTGCAAAAATAAAGTGACGGACACGTTACAGAGTTTAGCAAGTGCAAGGTGCATGCTTTTATGAACCTCAGTAGTTTTCTTAATTGTTAAGCACTATACACTAGAATGTGGTGTACACCAGGAAGCTATTTTGTATACTGTACCAAGAAGCTTTACTGTTGGGCATAAAAGGCTTACGAACAGATGATGGGGACCAAAACTCGCATATTTGCAGTGCTTTTATGTGCGCTTGGGAGTTAATCAGTGCATTAACACAGCTAAGCCAATGACATTTACAAGGCTGGTTCTGTGTTTGAGTGAGCAGACAAATTAACATCAAAGCACAATCACATAAGGGCCTTGCGTTTACTTGAGCAGCAAGACATGCCACTGTGACTAGACAGGAAAGAGAAGTGTTACCGCAGTGAGAACAATACTCTTTGGGGGGCAGGAACTGGGTGGGGGGGGGGGAGGCAATCCCTTAGTTGCTGGCTGTGATTCCTTATGTTAACATAGAGAATACAGTTTGCTGGTCAGCAGTTCTGTCTGCTGTAAGATAGGGTGGCAGCTTTGTTGGTTCACTACTGTAATAATTGTGGTGTTGGTGAGGGAGAGGTGTGTTGCAGCATCACACAAAACCATAAGCTGTCTTATGGTTTGAGATGCTAATGTCTGTTTAACATTTGTTTGACCATTGCATCTTATTGATAGTACGTGTTTTACTTCAGCCAGATGGATTCTACTGCAAAGTGATAAACTTGCATTTTTTCATTCTTTCCAGTCTGGAAATTTGAGCAAAGTCGAATGTAGGTCTGTGAATACAGCAGAAGATGTGTTTTCATCATCATTCAGACTGGAAGTAACCCGTTCCTGAATGTTACATCAAATGGGTCATGCATTTTCTGATGTTCAGAGAACTGATGCTATAAAGCTGGAATTCCCATTAGTAAATTACTCTTCTCATCACAGTGAGGAATAAATGATTACCTTTTATTATTGCTGACAAGGAGACAGAATTCAAGGTCTGGGTCCTGTTTAGGAAATAGCAGGTTTGTGAAGCTGTCAGTTACATCTTTTTAGTAAGACCTAGAAATAAAGCCTATCTCTT